AGATACTTGTGGGGTGATGGAGTGTACTTTGGTCCTTCATTGATCAGCATGTCTGGGTTTCTTAGAGGCAGTGAGAATATGGTTTATGCTCAAGTCTTAGCTTTAGCAGACAAGTCTAAAGTTTTGACAACCTCTGTGGCTCAAGACTTCTAAGTAAAAGGATTTGTGGAGTAGGCAGGAATAAGAGGTGTAAAGTTCACAGAAGTCATACAGGAAATTACTTATATATCTGTGGCTTTCTTATTAAAACAAACAACCCACCCTGGATTGTGCTGTCCTCTGACCTGATTATCCACTAGGTAGTTCAGTATGTATTCTGAAGCCATAAAAATAAGGATGAAGGATGTCTCCAGTATCACTAGGTGAGACTATGCTGATTTCAAGGAATTCAACACTTAATACCAATATGCTAAGGGAAGATGCACTCTTGTTCATTATCTTTGTTCATACAAACAGATTTGTTAGTTTTGTTCAAAGTTGGGGTAAAAATGTTAGATGCTAATTTATTTAATTGTCTCATTATCTAGATATTGTTTATGCTCGTGCCTCATGTGTTTCTCTTGAAGTAATGTTATGTATCTGCTAATTTAAACAGATCTTGTGATAGAGCTATTACAGATATTGAGTCAACTTGCCTCTCTGTCTTTAGAAAAATCTGTATGCGTGGTTTTTGTGACAGAAAATGAGGTCTGTGATATACATGAATGCTTTCCACATCTCCAGTATTTGCTAAGCCAAATCTGCTTCAGCTCTGAGTATGTGATCGTTTCTAGTTAAATGTATAGGAAATGCATGGAACTATGTCAGATCATTTCATAGTAACATAGTAGGTGTATCTTTTGACATTTGAAAGAAATATCTCAATAGTATATTGACAACTGTAGTTTTCTTCCAGGATGCTTCTACATGAAAAGGCAACTTTGAAGGAAATCCAGCCAACTCTAAAGAAAGCAAGTTAGATTTTATAATACAGGTGTTTTGTCCTGATTATGTTAATCTGACACAGACTGACTGTGTCCTCCAAAGACCATGGCAAAACATAATCAGGCAGTCTCTCTAAATTGGAATAACTCTAAAATCTTCTAAAGATGCAAATGTAGTTATCAGAGAAGAGTTTGAAGAGTTCTTTCAAAGATAAGTTTTTAGTAACTCAGATTTTTGTCTACTAGTCCGTATTTGAAGAAATGTGTTTGAAGATTATCAAATCTAGCTCTGAAATACCATTTTTCAAGTGAATTCGGCACTCATGCATTTTATAGATATCATTAAATATGTCACGTTGCCAAAGAGTTGCTTGAAGCTAAATTATAAATGGGTTATATTAAGCATTCTCAATGTATTTGCAGGCACAATCACTGTGTATACAGGAAGGTAAGTTTATGTATGCAAACAGGTACATAGGCTAAAGTAATTGGGCAGATTGGCTAATTATGTTTCTAGGCAGACATGCACAGTTGGTATATGCAAATTAATGCAATCACAAGCATTGCTGATAAATGAAGCCCATATATTTCATTTTACCCTTTAGATGTCAACAAGGTCACATAAGGTGGAGCTTGCATATTCAGTAATAGTTATTTTACAGATATCAAAGCCCTTTTCAGGAAATTTAGAAAATTTATCAGTGGAAGAGGTTGACTTTCACGTGGCATCATATATTTATTGTGACAACGTACTAACAAAGTGTAAGAGCGTTTATAGTGTTTGAAGCGGAATCACAAAATTAAATGGTAAAATTTCATTAGCTGCAAGTTGCAGTGATCTGGATTTTTTCTTGCATGTTGAATTATAATAAATACAAGGAAGAAACAAGTGATTTATTAAAGTGAAGTAACCAACTTCTTTGTTTGCTAATTTTTTTTCTTGTCTAACATTTTAAAATGTAAAAATATATTGCTTTATCTGCATATCTCACATTAATGATAACCAATTATTCATACTGGGGTTAAGTAATGTACTTAATTCATGATATTGTGATCTGAATTCAACATGATTTATGTCATCACTGTAGTTTCTGAGTTATTTCCATGTCAATAGTTTGTATGCTGGCTCATTGCCTAGCTATAAAAAAAATAACCACAACACCTGGTTACAACAAAATAGTCAACAGAAACAAATCTGATGCAGTTAAATTAATGGTGAAAGGAAATGTTTGAGTACATAAGTAAAATGCATTTTTCATGTATTTTATGAAATGCACATATCTACCATAACTAGCATTAAAAATACTTTTAATTGACTTTTCATATTTTCCAATCATCTCAGTGACTGACAATCAAAAATAACTATTCAGCATCTTTGATAACACAGAATCTAGTTTTGGCATCGTTGTACTAAAGCTTCTGAATAGATATCTATATAGACCGTTTCCATGACGAAGTATCTCTGGATTGATACCTTCAAAGTATCATTTTTTATAATTTGTTTATCATTGTACATTCCATTTCAAGTTTGGAAAAATACAAATATAGGTTTTTTACAAAAATATTGTTAGTTATATTGAAACCCAGTTTTTGATACCAGTGATCTGCTGAAGGTCTCAGGGGACTTCTGTGTAAAACAGAAAACATAATGTTCTTCATCTTAAATGAGTACCCTGGGGGACACTGCATTTAAAAGCCTAACGAAGCAGAGGTTAGTTGAGGGAAGGTAATCTATCTGACTACATCAGATATTTTCTGTTTTTTTCATACCTCTTCACTCGTCACAGACCTGTGATTTCTCTGTTCTGAGCTTATTCTAGTTTCCATTCTCCTTGCGATCCTTTGAGACACATCATTCTCTTTTCCTTCAGGTGATTTTACTTATCTCCATCCAAAAGGGCTTTTTGTTTACCTTTCTCTGCCTTTTGTTGTCGTTCTACATCGAGGGCATGCACAAGAGTGCACGGATACTAAAGCACCACTAGTCCTTTCTTTGACATGTTTTAGGCATGAGAGACCACCGTGTGTCTCTCAAATTCTGCTTCCAGTTTCTGTTTTTCGCTGATATCAGTGAGCTTCTCTCTGATGTCTGGAACTTTTGAAATGGATTTGTGCAGCATTTTAAAGTTACTCTATCTCTGATAAACAGAAATTGCATCATGTTAATAGTTGGGACACTGGTCCTGTCAGTAGCCTCAGGCTACTGTGGCATTTCTGGATAATTGTTAGCCATAAAAGTAACAAGAAGTAAGAGAAAGATGCAGCCATCTATATAATCTAATGATGCTAGAACTCGTGTGAGTGATTGGAAAACTCTCAGTCAAATGAGAGGAACAGCAATAGTCAGATTATTACTATATATTATGCATAAGCAAAGATACAGTTCAACTTTGCTTTTTCTTAATATAATAGAAATAAGATGATCTTTCTTAGTCTTCAGATTATGCAACTCAGCAGAAAGGATTGCTCTTTATTCTTAATTAGGGTGGTATGTTTGAATTGTTTCCTTTTTTTAATACTTCCTAGTGGACATAAAAACTTCCTATATTCATATTTTACCACTCATTATGCTACACATAACTGAATCTATAACTGACTTTTTCACCAGTAACAGACAGCTTCTGTGTACAGCATTTCAGGTTCCTGTTGACACTCTAAAACATCTGTGCAGTTCAAAATTTCACCACACAGCATAGTCTGAATTTAAACTTCCATAACTTCTGTGATTTTTTTTTTCCTTCTAAAAGACCACATTTACAGCTGAAATTAGGCACAACATAAGAATATTAGCATAGCTTGAAAATGGGCTTTTGTTTTCTGTCATCACCACTTTACTGTTAGGTATGTGCTTTTAGCCTTTTATGCTGCCCAATATAGAACCAGAGGATGAGAAGTTTATTTTCTCACATTTATTTTTATTACTCCAGACAAGTTCTTCTCAAACAGTGATTCATTACTAGCAAAATAGTTCTAGATTATCTGTAGGTTAACAAACCTGAGAGAGTTCTGCTCAATAAAGAATATTTGATTTGAGTTTTTTATAGGTTTGAACATTTGTGTGTATCCTGATAAGTCATTGCTGTATTCTAAGTGTAATCAATTTTAGACTCCTCACTAAGATCCTAAGCAGAAAACACAGTATAAAAATCACGTGTTATTGTTTATTTTTTTTTGTTTTATATGCAAGAAGTTAATGTGTAAAACATATTCTTTGGTCAGTCTGTGAACTGGGCAACTCATAAAACAGCTGTTTCAGGATACAGTGGCTGCTAAATACTTTCACAGTTGAAAAAAACAATTGGAAAAATTAATGAATAAAAAAATAATTCAAAGCTACAGAGAAAAAGCGTGTCTGTCTGAAGATGGCCATGTGCCACAAACTGAAGGCTAGCAAAGTATTCTGAAGAAGCATCAGTAACTTATTTTAGACTTTTAGTCGTACCCAGTATAGCTGGGTTAAAATGATCCATCTAGCTCTAAATATCTGTTTGTATCAGCATACACATATATGCTTATGTAGATTGATCTGTGCCCTAGTGGATTACCTTTTTTTCCCCCCTTTGAACTTTGAGTGTTGACTGAATTTTACAAGTTGTAATCTGTGAAAGGCGGTGTTCAAAGTGAGGCAGACAGTACTCTGAAGGACCACCTACCTATAGTATTTTATTTATAGTATTTATTAGAAGTATTTATTGTATAGTTTTCTGAAACTTAAATGTTGCCTCCTTAAACGCCAGTATTGATACTACAGTTCTAGTCATACTATTTAATAACAAAAAGAAGAGTAAGTGCCACATAAGTCAGACATCTTTCACTCATCAATAAGTGTAACATTCACCAAAGCATCATCTTAATCACCTTTTTCTACTAAGTTAGAAAGTGAAATCACTACAATGAGTAATGTACAAAGGTGAGCAAGTGTATACCAAAGACATTGGCAGCTCTTCACTTAGAAGAAAAATTTGTGTTTTAAGTTACTTATGGCTTACTGTTTGTAAAGGCTCATTGAAATACCCTGAAATATGTTCTATTTTTACTACTGCTTATCAGAATTACATACTTTTTGTTTACTTACAGTATGAAAGAGGCTGGTTTAGGCCATAAACAGTGGAGGGGTGGTCCCATTTCATCAAACTGCAAGCAGTGTCCAGTAGTTTATACCAATCCTGTTTGTGGATCAGATGGTCACACATACTCATCTCAGGTAAGAATTAAAGAAAGAACTAAATTAATCTTTCATTGTTCCAGTCCATTCCAGCTCCTGGAAAACAAAATACTGTATGATAACAGAAATCAATATTTATTTGTTTTGGCTAAAATATATATTGCAGACTGCAATCTATAACAATTGTAGTATATTATATGATATAAAAGCAAAACAGTAGCAAATCCTAAGCAGCGTAAACCACTAATCCCTGGAGTAGCACAGTGTAAGAGTGCTCCACAATGTAACAGAGCTCCAGGTTAAGTCTGTCTGCAACAGACACCGTGGCAGGATTTTTAGGAAGCAAAAAAGTGTTGCGTGTCCCCAGTAGGATAGGTATTTTAAGTCAGATTTTCCAGTTGACCATTAAGGGTATGCTTTACATTCCAGGTATCTAGGCAACCTAGATGTAACATACGCAGAAAGAAAATGTAATAATTTAAATAATTTTTGTATATCTTTCCTTGCAACAGCATTTTTTGAGTTTTCAGATCATAATCAAATCTTACTGCTGTAATCCTAAACCTTCCTTTCTTTTCTCTCATAATTATTTGGAGACAGAATAACAAATTTAAAATATTACTGTTAGTTTACCCAGACTTTTTTGGATGAAAGATTTTGTGCTGCTCATTCTGAAGTCCAGAAATCATAGGACTGCATTAGTACAGTGCAGATATGAAACTTGTGAGATGGAGGGACTTCATAACGCTGAAAACAAATTAATTTGTGTAGCATCCTTTCTTAAAACTTTCAGTAGAAGAATGTTCTGCCAGCATTAACAACTGAATCCTCTCTAGCAGAAAAAAAATGTGGGCCTTTTTTCTCAGAAACAGCATGCAATTCAGTAATGTGAGAGGAGCTACTGTATTGTGTCTTACTGACACTGTAGCCTTACCCTAACAAATTTTTTCATTACTAGATAATATTCAGTGCTTCAAGAGAACTATAGTAATAGATTAAAGTGATGAGATGGAAAACCTCTGTGTTTGTTACTTATAAAGAAAAAAATTCCCTAAAGCTTTTTAAACAAAATACATTTAGGGTATTTCCTATTATTTAAAGATTTTTAGTTACCATTTGCTGTATAGAAGTTTTTGTTTGTTTTTTTACTGTAATCACGAACTACATCTGAAGTTTACAAAACAGAATTATTTTCCAGGAGTGACTGGCTGTTGGATTGAACATCAAGTATCCTCTCAATGGATAGTTTCTTCTTGATAAAATAAAACCATCAGATATAACTAGTGCTTCCTAAACCCTGACAGTTCTTATGCTTTTATCCTAAATTTTATGTTAGAAAATGTTTTTCTTACTACCTTGAATTTTTAATTTTCAATTAAATTTTTAATTTAATTGATCTAGAATCCTAATTTTTCCTTTAAAGAAAACAATTACAAATTTCTAATGCATACACCAGGATATCTGAGACCTTACACATGAATTTTGGACTCTTTGGCATAGCAAAAAATTAATTCCTTTCAGTGACAATATGACTTTAATTTAGGAATCTTGAAAGTGTTCTTATTTTGATTCACAGTAATCTCCTGGCTATGTTTTCTTTTTTTTTGTATGAGCTAGAAGTGTGCTGACATCTTACTACATGTTAGATGATACTGTCATTTAGTATTTATTTTTCCTTGCCAATGTGAAGGTTTGGTCAGTCTTTAGGTCTAAGCCTAGCCTGCACATAGATATAAAACAGATGGTAGTCTCTAAAATTTTGCAATTTAAGTAGGTGAGGTAAATAAGTTGATATAGATGATACTGGATGAGCAACTTTTTAGTTTTTAAATACTGTATACTTGATCCATTACAATCTCTCCCTGTGTTCTTACCTAGTGTAATAAAAACATTACCTCCAGTTTTAACCTCATTGCCTATGTCCTATTTTATCATATAGGAGTACTGTGTTATAAATAGTCCTATAGGTAGAAGCGATCCTTCTGGCCTCTCATGGTCTGGTCTGGAGTAGGTGTACAGAAGTCTGTAAATATTGCTAAGATACACATATTTTTAACTCAGTTCATGTGCTAAAGGTGAGGCTGTGCTTATCCAATGGAATAATTGAGAAATCAGTGGATTAAATAGACACACTCTGCTTCCATCCCAGTGCATAGTCAGTGCTGCAGTCAATTCAGTGGTACATTATCTAACCTCTATGTCCCTTTATGCATATAATGCAGAAATAATGCGGCATCAGAGAGGTTTTGAAGGGTTTTCTTCTGTCTTCCACTTCCTTGTAATGGTAGATTTCAAATCTAAGTTTATGACAGCAAAATGCTAAAAAAATTAATTACTACAGAAGATCTGTATTAGCCTATAAATATTTATTTTTATTTCATGTCAATGATGTGAGGATTCTATGGTGCAGTTTCATCAAAATAGAGGTCCCTTTGCAATGTTATTTCAAGAGTAGTGGTTTTAAAAGTTGACATAAAGACAAATATTTGTGTTCCTGTACTCTAGGCAAAGTTTAGTTTCATTGTGTCATCAAACTCCAGTAGGAGTTTATACACCAATTTTCTTGTGTTTAGAATGCATTCATCAGTGACTCTGGAAAATTGTATAATACATTTTCTGAAAAAAAGTCATTAAATAGTAGTACTATTGTAGAACACAGCCAGTCAGTTGACAGGAATCAGATGAATGCTGTTTTCGGAGTATACCCTCGCTTTTCAGAATAAGCCCATGCAAATGCTTGTATTAAGTTACATAACTAGAGATATTTCATACATGTGTTTTGTTTTGGAAAACAAACAAAAGGATTTTATAACAGCTGGACTGTCTAGAAAGAAAGGTTGTCTTCTAAATTGAGCTTTTTCAGAGTTGGGTAAGGATGTTTTGTTTTCCACTCATTTTAGCCCACAGTTAGTCACATAAAGTCAGTGTAAAAGAAAAGCAGCAGATGTGAGATGTTCGTTATTACCATTACAAGAATGTTGAAATAAAAATATTACATGCTGAAATGTTGAGTAATCAAAGTGAACATTAATCATTGTCTGAGAAGAAATTCAGTATAAAGAGATCCTGCCAGGGTGGTGTTACGATTTTAATTTAATAGCCTTTAAATAATACTGCATGTGTTACGCTTGGTCTGCTTTTACCTTCTACGTTTCTCTAAACTTTGGCACTTGGAAGTGCATATGCATTTTTACACTTAGGAATTCTCAAACAGTGCTGTAGCATAGAGCTTTGGGACCACTGTATACTTGACATTCTCCGTGAAAAAAGCCCATCCAGCTCTTGCAGCCTGTTTCTAGCTTCATCTTTCCTGAGATGAAAAGGGAAGTAAAACGGACATGGAGTGCACCTCAGATGGGGTGTTTTGTGAAAGCAACCCACCTACTGCCATTCTTTTACCCAGGGATGCAACTCAGTGCTGTGCAGCACACATTGTAAAGCTGGTGTAACTGTGGATAAGATGATGATGATGCTTGATAAGCATCTGTGGATTAGATGATGATGACTTGAATGCTTCTGTTGGAACAATTCTCCCATATTGTATTATATTATTAATGGACCTTTTGAAAAATAGCCATGAGGAATAAAAGTACGGTCATGCAGATGGAATTGTCTTTTGAGTGGTTTTTGCATATTTTGATTATAGCTCTGGTATATGGTATAATAGCCTGAAGTTTTCTTTCTTAAGTTGAATGTGATTGACAGTTAGTCCTGCTATAACAAAATCTAAAATGAGACCAGTGAACAGTGCTTTGAGTATTTTGAAATGAAAACACCAGAGAAATAAATTAATCTTTGGAATATGCCCATTACCCCATGATTTAATTTCAGAATCACTTTGACAGTTTAGTGTTAGCAACAATTTGCTCAAGATGATTTTGTATTGATTGTGAATTTTTTTATGGAATACATTTTCTCCTAGGGGGCCCCTGGTGGTCTAGTGGTTAGGGTGCTGCACTCTCACCGCTGCGACCCGGGTTCGATTCCCAGCCCCCCGGGCAGATGGAGCTCGTCAGCCCTGTAAGGCAATCCATCTAAGAGAAGGTCACTCTAAACAAACCTACATTCTGGGGACCTCACTGCCACTGTCCACTGCCACTGTCCAAACTTGCTCGGCCCTGGCAGATGAACCTCAGGATTAAAGGGTGGGCTCAGTTCAGCGCACGCTGTGTCTCACCTAAAAAATCCACTGCGCAGGCTCGAAGGGTTAATGACCTTTCCCAAATCTTCGCTCGCGAAGACTGGCCATATATTACATTTTCTCCTACCTATGAAAACTTCATGTTACTGATGATATCCCTACATATGTAAATAGCAATAAAAATCATGTTTTGCAAAAGCAATAGGTCTAAACTAGCTTCTCAGACTAAGATAGAAAATGTATAGAAAAGTAGTCAGAAAAGAGGATAAAAATTCTTGAAAGGCTATACAGATAGACAGGTATGTGGATTTTGATTTTTTAATATTCAGATATTTTCTTCAGTCTCCCAAATTATGATTAATTTCTCATTAGAAGTGTTGAAAGAGTCAGTGGATGAAATCACACTGTGTGAAGGACTGAGATTAATACTAGTTGTTTACTCCATCCACATTTTGTTTATCATTCGGCATGACCCTAAATTGCTAGATTTTTATTCTTATGACATCCCATATTAAACATTTTTCTTTTTAAAATTGTTCCTACCTTTATTAATTTCAGGTATTTTTAAGACTTTTACTTAATAATCTATATCTCTTAGCAGTGTGTTTGGTATTAAGACAGCTGGTTTGGAGGAAGCATAAAATAGATGTATTGACGTTTTTAATATTTGATGTTATTTTAAAAGGTTATGATTTTATAAAAGTTAAATTGATTTAAATATATTAATTAACATATTTTGAGTTTTCAGGTCAAATGCCTGAGCTATTGACAGATTTTTTCTACTTCAGAAGAGATTGCTAGAAATGGAATTGCCATTACAAAACAGATGTCTATTTTGTAATAGTGAATGGAAGTAGTTTTTACAAGCCTGATTCAATGTATGTCAGTCTTGCTTCTT